GAAAAAATAAATCAATCATTACAAAACCCATACATTTGTATCCCTAACCCATAACTATCCTGAGTTGAGAATGGAAATCTGACAAAAACATAACTATCCTGAATTGAGAATTAGTTAAACAATTAACAACAAAACAAAAAAAACAGTTAACTAATGGGAATAAAAAGAATATTATGAATTTAACTGAACTATATATTTTAATTATAAAATTATTTAATATATTGAATGTTTCAAAATATAATATTGCTTCATTATTTTTAATTAAATTTAACTACAACAGCATCAATTAGTTTCCAGTAATATTTTGCTCAAAATATTAACCTGACTATCAAAAATAAAAAAACATACCAATGCGACAAGTCTGGAATGGTCTCCAAGACTTGGAATAATTTCTTATCTCGTACATTCTTCATGCAACTTTTATAAAACTGAGTTGTATCTTTATAAAAACGCCATTTGCGCAACTAAATTCATATGAAAATTTGTAAAAAAAAATTGAACATTATTTGCATCAAATACAGTAAATTAGATAAAGCATATAAGATAAACAATCTATTAAATGGCTGTAGTTGCTTTTTAGTTTCTTGTTGAAATATTTCGAAGTTTTCAGAAATAATTAAGTTTTATAATACTTTTTTTTTTCCTTTTAATATTCTATATTATTTTATTATTTATATTTTAATGTTATCTGAATTTAATTTTAAGATTTTTATTTCGTCTTCAACAAATGAAATCTTAAATTGAAGCTGTCCTGTTTTTTTGAACAACTTTTTAATCAAATAATTGGAATATTAAATTAAGTCTTAGACCCTTTATCTAACAAAACATTATGAAATATTTAATAATATTGAAGATATGACAGAAAAATAGAACTTAATATAGTGAGCCTGATTATACTCGAATAATTCCAATAAAATATTTATTTATTCATTCATTTATTAAGTTATTTTTGTTAAGTAAGTTATAAAAAAGATAAAGGGGAGTGTAAATTAATTGTCTTATTTTTTAAGTATAAAAATTTACTACTGTCAAAGTCATTGAGAAATTTATTTTCGGGAAGTTAACAAATTCAGCCAAATAACAGATACAGCTTAATAATTTTTTTTTGATCAAACAAAATCAAATTAAATATTTAATTAGCCAATAAAAAGATAAATGAATGTTAATTAGCCAGTTAAAAGTTAAAAAAATGTTGATTAGCCAATTAAAAGATAAAAGAATGCTAATTAACCAACCAATTACTCAAATTAAACATGAAATTAAAAATTTATTTTCAATCAAAATACCTTTCCAACTCGGCAAGCTTCCTGTTCTGTTAAAATAAGGACAGCAAAAAGATCTATTAATTTTGGTTCATCAACCAAAATATTTGAAACTTGATTAAAAAATTCTATTATGGTGGACTTTCCTGTTTCGAATTTGTTCATCAAAAGAAGATACTGCTTTGTCAAATTAGTATTCTTTATTTTACATAAAGTTTCAAAAAATAACAATTTATTTTTAGTTGCATGCTTTGATAAACCTAGAGAATTCACAAAAAATGTGTTATGATGAGATGTAGACCATAAAAATCAATGTCTGATAAATCGATTATAGAATTGGACCAAATGAATTTAAGATTGCAGTCTACGAACCTTATCATACTCAACCTTCGTATTCGCTCGACGGTTATTTGTACCGATTAAATATTTTAGGTTACTGTAATAAAGAAAATAAATTGGCTATTTATTTTCAACTGATGCAGTCTCCAATGGATCATTCTTTAAAGTGGCCGTTTATAAAGACTGTAACATGTACAATTAAAAACGATAACTGTACATTTAATTTTTCTTAAAATTGTAATTGTATTGAAAACATTAAAGCCGATTATAGCGAACCGTTTAAAGAATGTTTTGAAAAACCTGCTCAAGCATATAACCGAGCTGTTGGATCAGAAAGTTTTGCAACACATGAACAACTTAAAAAACATTATATAGAAAACAATAAACTTATTATTCACGTTTCTTTTATATAATTTCTTATGTATTTTTTTTATTTTGTATTTAATATAATTTTGTATTCTTTTTTAAGCTATTAAAAAACACCCGATCCTAAGTAAAATTTGTCGATCTCATCGAAATAAATTATCTCTGTGTTTTCCGATCTCATCAGCCGTGTATTTGCCACACCGCCACACATGTGATATTATTTTTCGATGTCATCGTATTATGTGTTCATAATATAAATTCATGCCAAAAAATAATACAAATAATGGCGGTCAATATTTTGCGGCAATATAATGTACTATTTTAATTATAATATATTATGGTAATATAAAAAAATATAACATTTTCTTAAATTTGATTTATTTTAACTTTATTTAGATTAATGTCTAATATATAATGCTTTATTATCAATTTAAACAAGGTAATGTGTATTTAATATTCAGGCGAACTTGATTAAAAGGTATAACGATGAAACTGATTCTAAAATATTTTTCTTACTCATTTATTACTGCTTTGTTCTTAAAAAATATTGAACACTCTATTTGTAAAATATACTCAAATAATTTATAAATAAATACAAGAAATATTTTTAGGCTCCCTCAGAGACTCTGAAAATTGACCTCTCTGCGAAGAAATTACTAAAAAGTAAAATTACTTTTTGCTTTTAATTTAATAATAACTGCAGACTGTGTAAAAAAAATGCACTTAAGACACTCAAGTCTAGTGCAAGTTTTAATTAATTTCTTTTTTAAATGAACATCAGTTCTTCGCTTTTAAGCTTCTAATTTTTTGCTGTGTTGCTCAATAACTTGTAAAAATGCTGTTATTGTTTTCTCTGTTTGATAGAAGTGATGAAAAATTTAAACATTAGCCGTTTCCTGACTGAGTTACCAGTAATGCAGAGCCATTGTTTTAAACCAATCATACTTATACTGCTTCATAATAGTTTTTTTAGTCTTTTGATCAACTGTATGTCGTTGTTGGGTGCATCCAGAGTAGTTTTGCATGAAAACCATGCTTGAATGAAGACCTCAGCTAGATATCTATTTAAACGCTGAATGTTTTTATTGCCATTGTATAACAGCTCTTGATCGTGTATATGGCCTTTGCCATCAATATGAAGTAAAAAGTCAGGTCAGGTTATCCTTTAAATGTCAAGTTAGGTTATCCTGATACTGGTAACATGAAATCCAGTACAACCTGCTTCCTGTTAACATCAGAAAGGGCATCTGATTGTAAAACATTGCTTTAACTCTCTCATAATGGCATTAATTTCATAATGAAAACCCTCCAAACCACACAAGTGTCGAAAAATAGAAGTAAAATTTACAACAACAACAAAATGGCCATATGAACGACACCTGATCTTCTGATAGTTGCTTCAATTTTTAAACCTATCAAATAATCAGCTAAAATCTGAAAAAATGCTAGATTAGAGGACAAGAAATGCAGTCTTTAGAGTAAAAGAAAGTTATACACTGCATGCACACAGTCTCATAATATAAGGCATAACATAGGCAATAAAGGTTGATTGTCTTGAAAGAACAGCGAAGAAGATGATTAGTTGGATATAAAAGATGACTGAAAAGAAAGAGTTAAAAATATTAATGATATATATTAAGATGTGTCAGAGTAGATGAAGCTGGTTTAGGCATGTTGTATAATACGCCATATTTGATTACGTATTATACAATCACGCATTGAAGATAATTACAATCATCATGCTAATGACCGTAAAGGACTTTTATTATAGGCATTGCGTTTACGTTTTTTAATGTTAGTTATGAAGAGAATAAAGTTGAGTCGCGAACTTTGTTATTATACACATGTAGATGATTGTAATGCAAATAATTGCGTATCAGCATGTAGAGTTAGCAGTTTAGTCAAAAAAAATAGAATTAGAAAAACTTGCAGATATTATGTTTTTTTTTTTAAGAGTATGTTATAGATTACATGGAAAAACCTCAGAAAAAAGATATATAAGATAATAGATATTTGAATAAATAGCATTATGAGAAACCTCCAACCAAGCAAGCACAGATACACTGAAACTAATATGACAATGAAGATAATGTTTACCCAAAAAACTCCTAAGAGATATATAAAATTTAGTTAATTTTACATTTAATTGTTATCAAAATACAGGGTAAAAATATTGCCATTTCATCGGTTGGTAAATTGGTAAACTGATTAAAAAAGCTGTTGCCAATACCGATTGTACAAAAAGTGGCCATAAGTAAACAAACTATTGCTATATGTTGCAGTGGATGTCCAGTCCGATTCATATACTTATACTTTTACTTTGTGCCCTTTTTATCATTTCAGATGATTGATAATTAGTATTTATCATTCTGGAAAAAAAAAGATTTTGTTGGTAGGAGGTAGGGAGGATGGTGGGAGTCATTCATCAAAGGTTAGTTTTTTCCAGGACACTGTAATATATATGCTTGCTAAATAATAATTATATATTTATATATAAAAAAAGCCAATATTTAATGTCGTGGTAATAAAAAGTTCCCTTTTAATACCGTAGTTATTGCGTAGTATTAGTTAAAACTATTGTTTTGAAGATAGCAAAATAAAAATAAATCATTATTTTAATAATCTAAACTTTACACTTGTATTTATCAGATAAAAGATATATTTTATTCCTGGTAAAGTTAGCAACCTATAATTTAAAAAATTTTTAGGTTGCTATATCAGTGGAATATATATATATATATATATATATATATATATATATATATATATATATATATATATATATATATATATATATATATATATATATATTATATATATATATATATATATATATATGCATGTATGTATATATATATATATATATATATATATATATATATATATAATATATATATATATATATATATATATATATATATATATATATATATATATATATATATATATATATATATATATATATATATATATATTAGGGTGGTTCTTAAAACACCGACCGAAAGTTTCAAAAATAATATTCATTTCGAAAAAAAAATACTTATTTTATTTTTTACTCATTAAACACCATTTAAAATTATATATTATAGTTTTATCACAACTTTTGATATTAAATGGAAAATATAAAAATTGCATCTGTGGAGCACATTCTTGTAAAAAAGTTTAATGAAGGTATGAATGGGTGTGGTAAGCGCTGCTTATCTTTAATTACAGAAGTAGCTGGTGAAACTCATTTATCCATAAAGACAGTTAAAGTATTAATTTTTTTATGTATTTATTATTTAAAATTATAATTACAATTTCATATTATATGCAATTTTAATCATTATTTGTTTTTAGTGTTTTTAACAACAAAACATTAAAACTGACAGTTGTTTGTCTACGTTCTAAAACTAATTTCTCAAATTAACTATTTGTATTTTATTTATAATACATACAAGTAATGGTAAAGTTTATGTTAAAATATGAAGGCAAGAGCATACTGCAAGAGCAATCAAAGAGTGCTAGCCTTAAAGTAAAGTTTGATGTGCATCAGGGTTCAGTGTTTACAGTGCTTTACTTTTTTAAACAATTAATACAAGCTGTTTTTGTTTGCTCATTCTAGACTTTACAAACGTAAGTTTTTTATTACCTCATTTTTTCTTTACTTTTTTTTTGCTTCAATTCCATTCTTCCAACTACCTTTTCCCCAACTTCTATTTTTCCAATTTCATTTTTCAATTCTATTTTCCCAAGTTATGAAAATGTAATTGAAGCAAAAAAAATTAAGAAAAGCTTAAATTATAAAAAATTTATGCTTTGTAAAGTCTAGAATGAGCAAAAAAAGATTAAGGTGGTTTGAGTACGTAGAATGTAAAGGTGTTGCTAATTGTGTATAGCATACATAGTGAACAATGAACGAAAAACAATGATTTTAAAATGATGAGAATTACAGGAATTAATTTTTTCTAGTTATTTATTTTATATACAATTTGACAAGTATGAAATTTATAATAAAATATTAATTGTTAAACCATAAATATAGATTTTAATCATCTAAGCTCATATTACATTTTTTTAGAGCTGGATTGCTAGGCACAAAGCAAAAAGCCGAAAATCAGATGTGGATTTTAGTGTTAAACAAAAAAGAAAAAAAGTGTCTATAAATACTCAGGTGCTAAGGGGGTACGATTTATGGAAACAAAACCAGTTATTGTCATTAGAAGGTATTTTTTGCAGTAAATTTAATCTTTACTATTATTATAATAATTATCTTTATATTCTTTTTGTTTACTCAATATGGATTCTTCATCAACTTTCTCTTCTTTTTTGTCAAACTTATTTGTTTAAACCAACTTTTCTTTTTGATATTGGATAGCTTGTGAGTTTGTTTTTTCAAAAAGTCTTTTAATTATTTTTTTGTTATTATCTTGGAAATTTAGTTTTTATACTTCATTGTTATACATATTCAACTTGTTTTAAATTTAAAAAATTTAATGTTTATTTTATTTAAAATAATATTTTTTGTAACGAATGTATTGTATACTTTTTGATAATTGTTTTTACAATTGTTTTTACCTATATTAATATATACTCTATCAATAATTGTTTATTAAACTAGATTCAGATTTTGATAACAGAAATTTTTGTTTCAAAAATCTTGGTCATAACTGGTCGTTGTTAACAAACAATGAAAAAGAAAGCTGGAACAAGAAAGCTTTATTACAAAGAAACAAATTACTTCCTCTCACTAAAGAAGAAAAAGAAATTAAATCTAAAAAGTTGTTAAAACAGTTGAAAAAAGTTGTATGTTTATTTTAATTATAATTAATTACCATAAATTATTATAAATAATAGTTTCTAAAAGTTTCGCACCCTTTATATAACTTGTTTATATATTTTTTATTTAGGTGGAAGAGTTAGCAAATATGGGCAATGACGTTGTTGCGGTTACTTGTCTTGCTCATGGTGGTGCTCCTGTTGTAACTGCAACCGAAAGAGGGTGCCAATTTTTACTAAATTCTGAAGAATTAAACTTTCAGTTTAAATTTGCTGAATTTTTGAAAGGTATTTAAATTATTAAGGTACTAGTATATGTTCACAATAATTTAACATAAAGTTAAAAGCTTCATTTTTAATTTTAGCTCCAATAGTCAATAAGGAAATGGTTGAAAAAAATAAATTATGTACTAAAGTTGCAGATATTTTGAATAAAAAATATGGTATAACTTTACATTTGTAATGCTTGTTTTTTAATTTTTTCCTATTTCTTAATTAATCTAATAAATATTATTAGAAATTAGTCGACTTGCTTTGCCAAAACACTTGCAACAAAGATTTCGAAAATGTCATATTCCATACAAGAAATATGTTCCCACTATTATTAGTGCTCATGGCTTACCTGATGGACAGGTTTTAAGATATCCATCATCAATGGGAACAGCCTTGTTAGCTAACATTGTTGAAAATCAAAATGAAATTAATATTGTTTTTGACTTGACAAGTTAGTTTTTTTTAATTATATTGTACAAAGTATGAATAATATTTACATAGCATTTATATTAGAGTAGTACTAGTATATATTTGTTACAACAAAAGTAAAAATATTGACATAGTACAAGTCATTGATTGTCAGATTGCAGTTAGTTAGAAAAATTGCTGTATTTTTCACACTGAAGTATCTCTCTGTGATTAGTTTGTCTTATGTCTTTGTGGCTCTGAGGTGTACTAGCTCAATAATTTGCAGGGTTGCATGGTTTTAACTGAATGGTTTTAAAAATGTTGGTTTAAACTAAATTAATAGTTTTTGGTTTTTTTTGAAAACCTTGCTGTTACTTAACATTGCTTATTAAATGTACCAGTTTCTAGTGCTGGAATCAAATGAATTTGTTTAACTTATGGAATGATGTATTGAGTTATTTCAACGAAAAATAACAGTAATATTGATAAAGAATATAATTTACCCAAGTAAAATTTGCAATGATTTTTTTTTTTTAATTTAAAAGTATAACTATATAAACCGTTTTTAAATAAGATCAATTTAAACCAAGGTTGTTGTTGTTATTTTGTTGTTGTTATTAACCCATGCTTTTCGGTTTTTAAAAAAAGGAACAGTTTTTTCACAACCCTGATAAGTTGTTCAACCTTCAACAAATGTGGGTTCCAATCTGGAATTGCAAAATTAAGTAAATGATGGGCATAAGACATAGTGGAATTTTATTTTATAATATATAAATAGTATATAATACTTTGATAAGTTTATTATTTTAGTAGATACTGTTATATTTATTATAAAATTAGAAATATTCTGCTTGAATTAACTTGCTTTCAAATTTATTTATCTAAGACACTAAAAGAAATAAAATAGTTTTATATTTTGTTATTTAAAACAATTCAAACAATATGCTTCTTTTAAAGGTTTATTGCATATGGAATACAATTCATTTGAAACACATTTATGTTGTAAGTCATTACAGTTTTTCTTTTACTTTTCTAAATAATTCTACATTTAATTTTGTATTCGATTTTTGTTTACAATTTTTTAATCTTTAGCAACGGAAGTTAATAGCGACTTAATCGAGTCTTCTATGTTTGCTAATACTGAATTATTATCAACAGAAATAGGTAGTTTTATTTATTTTTAAGTTTAATGTTCAGGAAACATAAACACAAAACTTTGTTTTAATAGGTCTCCACAGGTTTCTATAAAGATCTTTCTTTGACACTATGAAGGAGTTAATTATAAAACCTGATTGTTTTCCTGGTATTAACTTGTTTTACATCAGAACTGAAAGATCAATTTCATGTCATGATAAGGACATCTGTCATTTATATCATTTCTTTGTTAAATTTGTATAAAGCTGTTGCTTTTTTAGATAATTAAAAAAAATATACTTTTTAGATTGTGAATTTCAACCAGTGAGAATATCAAACTCAAACGTAAACGAATTAAATTTGTCAGATGTTCAGTCTGCTTTTTGTTCTGATGCAGGTTAGTATTTTTTTTCTTTTCTTTTAATGAACTATTTGTTTATTTGTTATTGTCTGTATGCTTATGTGATATTAGATTTATTAATACTTTATGGTAATAAATCAAAGGATTACCATTACAATTACAATTAATAATTAGCTGTTTTATGTTTATAAATGATGCATTTGTTATCTTCATCTTATTCCTAATCACGTTTTAGCATCCGTGTTCATTGCATCCATGCCTGCATAGATAGCATTCTAATTATCCGATTTTCTCCAATATACAAGAACTTTCACTCTAGCTGTAACTGAAGCTTTTTCATGTCACTTTTGTAATAATCTTCAGGGTAATTGTAAACAATGGACACAACAAGTATAGTTAAAGCCTATAGTATGCCATCTTTATTATATATCATTACAGCATTTGAATACATTTTGTGTTGTGCTTAGCCAAATAAGGCAAGAGTCTGTTTTCTTCTTTTTTAGACTATATTTTTAAATTAGTGTCTTTTAATGCCCAGGGATCTGGGGGCTATCCTATGATGCCCATGTTTCACCCATAATATTTCAACAATTTATAAATAAACCCTTTCATTATATGAAAATTACTATATTGTAATTTATAGTATACTAATATTTATATGTAAGTTCTTGAAAAAATATGTATTGCCTTTAAAAAAAAACATTCTGCTTTTTATCATGTTTTGAGAAACTAGCTCTCCTCGGTAGTGCTTCGAAACGCTATAAATAAAGCTGAAATAACCCACATGATATTAGGCCACTTGATATTTTAACCCACATGACATTAGGCCACATGATAATTTGCAGGTTGAATGCAAAGTCCTATGGCTTACCTTCTCTTAGGTGCACTTCGTTAAATCAGTTACACAAGTAATGTCTAGTTTCTAATTTATGAACTTAAGAAGCCAAGGCAACACCCATAAAATATCTTGCATCCGCCCCTGACGAGGGCATTAAAACCATAAATGAAACAATAAGAAAATTTAAAAAAAAAAGATTTTATATTAATAATGCTTTTGTTAGATTTGATATTGGATTATTTATTTATTTATTCCAGAACAAGTTGTAATAACATCCAATGAAGTTTGTATGGATCACGATTATGTTTAGGCGAACTTCCTTCAATTAAGTAACAATTTTTAAATTTTTTTATTTTATAAATGTATTTTAATTTTGTTCAAATCCTCTTCTTTGTCTTGATTATTTGAGTTCGTTTTAGTATTTAAACCTCATTTGAAATTTTCGCATTCCGTATTTTATATTTGCTTAATTTTTAAACGCTCTTAACTCATAAAAATAATGAATTGGGACATAAACTTGTCGGTTTAGTATTATAAAGTTATATCTGATATTTTTAATTTTGATATAATTTAATTTTTAATTGTTAAAGGTTTTTGTGTTATTGTTAATTATTTGTGTTTGATAACTAAGGTTATATTATATATATTATAGTTAAGAAAATATATGTTATAAATAATATAAAATGTATAAAGAAACATAGATTATATTATATACATTATAGTTAAATATATATATATATATATATATATATATATATATATATATATATATATATATATATATATATTATACTATATAAATAAACATACATTATATTATATATTTCTTTAAATTTGATAGTGTTGACTTTTTATACGCTTAAATTACAATTCTTTTTGTGTTAACGGGGAATCCGGACCATTTAGTAAGGGGGCGATTTTAAAATGTTTTTGATTTCTAGCCCTAACCCTTGCGATCCCTCTTCCCCCCCCCCCCCCCACACACACACACACACACAATTAAATAGATCCGCCCTTGTTTTGTGTTTCGGTATACAATATCATGAATATTAAAAGTACTTGCTAAGTTTCGCTAAAAGGAAATGCAGGAATACCGCTAAGTTAGACCTAATTAGGTTCGTCTATCACTTACACTAACCTAAATTTAGCTTAAAAAATTCGGAAAATATCAAAATTTTCGCAGAGTTATTAATTCAATTTAAACCAAAAGTTCTGAAGTGATTTAAGCTCTATAAAAATCACCGCGCAAAATAGCAAAATTTTAACTTTAAAAAGTTTTTTAACTTTTATAAAAATAAAAAAATTTTAGAACATATTGTCGAAATTAATAATAACTATTAATAAATTAAAGTTCTCATCAGATATTTGTAAAGTAAACATTACAATATTGTTTAGAAAATAAAAGGTTTTAGAATTTTTTTTCCAACCAAAGGGGCATCTATAAAGTACATACGCAGTAAAATCACTGATTTGTTGTCAATCATTTAACTTAAAATGTTACAACATGTTGTAACACTTTAAGTTAAATGATTAAAAAAGACATTTTCCTGTCTGGCCATAGTTGAAATCCAGACGGGACATATTTGGCATACTTTTACGCACTTTTGAGAATCACAGTATTAGGTACAACAATCATAGATATACCACAATCAATTTAATAATCTAAATAATTTTCTTTATTCTTATAACTTCCATGGCAGCATTTCTTTTACTTTACAAGGCAATTAATTTATAAGTATTGCTAGAAAAAAGATTGTGGCATGTTCATTATAGATGTTTACATTGATTCTCAATATTTGCTAATCTCTTTGTAAAGCAAAAGTAAGTATATTTTATCATTTATAATAGAATTGTTTTTGTTTTGAAAAATGTTCTTTAAAAGTACAACTACTGCAAGAAACTTAAAAAACCAACAAAAACCCTTAACTCTTGATTGATAATGATGCTTGGAAAGCCTTCTACAACATACATTCAAAATAGCACACTTGTTAACATCTGTTATGTATTCAAAAACACGGCAAAACACATAAATATAAGAAGTGTTACAAAAATACTTCCTTATTTTAATCACTAAATAGGTAGTAATAAAGTTGCTAAAAATTTTTTTGGTGTCAGGGTTGTCCAAATTTTGACAGCTGACAGCTGTCAAATTTTTTTTTGTGATATCACACTTATCGTAACCCACTCCCTCCCCCATGTCACAAAGTGTCACAAATGTCTCCTCCCCCCCTCACCCTAGAAGCGTGACGTACTTTATGGATGACCCCTATGTGCAAAATTTGAAAGTTCCAAGTCTTCTGGATTCTATCTTATTTTAATTTTATTTTTTTTACATATAATTTACTATGAAACATAAACTTGGACGGATCATAATTAATGAAATTTTAAAACGAGTGTTCGCAAAAACATTGAAATAATCCAACGGCAATCGATTTAAAAAGTCGTTTTAAAAAGACATCTGTATGTTGAAAAATAAGGTTTAATTATATGTAAGTATGTAAAATATGGTAGACCGGGGCAGGTTGGCCAAAGGGTTATGTTGGTCCAAACAAGTATTCAACCCTCTTTCCAAATAAATTCATACTTATTGGATCATTTTTGGAATTTTGAAAGCGTGAAACATTTTTAACGTTTGTTTGCCGTTAATATGCCTGTTGTTTGACAGTACTGAACTATCTTAATGCTAAATTTTAAGCTTATAACTTAAGGAATATTTTAGTATATAAAAGAGTCACGTTGGCCATATATAAAAACCGATCTTCGACAAAAACACTTTTTGTTAAATGGTTTTTTGTGCATTTCTAATAATAATATTTTGTAATCTGAAATGTTTTGAAAAGAAAAATCAAACTTGAGCTGTTTACTTAATATCAATTTTATGTTTTTTGTATTATTTAGAGGGTTTTATACTATAAAGTATGTAAGGTCCGACACACTTTAAATTTCTAGTTCGATTTTTTTTTTATTAATATAGATAAAATATATAGTTGTGCGAAAAAAAAAATATTTTAAAAATTAGGCTTGACCCATTTTATACCCATGAGCCAACTTACCCCGATAGCGGGGAGACTGGCCCATCAAACATGATCTTACAAAAGCAATTTAAAATATACTGCAAACTATTACGAATTTTTTATAATGTTAGTTTTTGGTAGTCTTGGGTCTTGTTAACCTTTCTCTACAAATAATTGATTAAAAAATGAAAAGCTAAAAAGTTACACGTCAAAGAGAAAAAAGCAGGCCAACGTGCACCGGTCTACTCTAAAGTACATTTTAAATGTTTTAATTATACGTACGTATGAAAAATCAAAAATAGTAGTTTGTAAAAGCAATATGTACAAATCAAAATAATTTAAGGGTTGACTCTAAATCTTTTATTTGATTGAAGGAAAACTTAATTCTGTGGTTATAGGTTATTAATTTATAATGTTTATTTATAATCTAACTTTATGATAACTGGTATAGACAGTGGTCTTTCGTTTTCTTCATTAGAGTTATAATTTCTTCATTTGTTATTTTGTTTTTAAAATTTAATTTATTAATTTCCTTTATTACCAAAAATTGTAAATAAAATCATTTTAACTGAAGTACAACAAATATTATAATTAAATGTACTAAATTTAATGACTAAAGGATTTTTAAAAAATTACCACGACAAGTTGTGATTATAAAGTAGGACATGAAAGAAAACTAGTACCAACTAAAAGCTATATCTGGGTTTCCATAGAAAAAATATGAAAACAAGAACTTTCGAGGAACTCTTTCCAGGATATTGGCCAAAACTTCCTGCCTGCCAATGGTGTTTCATAAAAAAAGAAATTTTAGATAAAATTTTAAAAAATCAATTTCTTAAAAGTCTAAACATTTTTTTATTTGAATTTTGCAAATGAAAAGATATTGAATAAAACTTTATTAACGCATGAAAAGTCATACTTAATACAAATTTTTCTGAAGATTATTTTAAAAATTCCATAATTTTTTCAATTTTTTTAAAAAAAAAAAAAAACATTCTAGGACTTTCCAAGACAGTAGTACAATTCCAGGAATGAGGGAACACTGTATAGTTTAATTGTATACCATATTTTTTTTTTTATTTGATTTTTTTTTCGATGTTGAAAATACCTAAGTCTAATCTTAAGCTAACGTG